ACTATGAGTAGGGTTTGACTCCACATCACACAATAACAACAACAGCAACAGCTTCCATTGGTGCTGATTTGTGGATCCAAGTAATATGAATTCTTTGACAACTTCAATCTTTTCTCCATTTATCATGAGGTTGCTTATTGGTCCTGTTGTGAGGATTTTTATTTTCTTTATGTTGAGGTGTAATCCATACATATTTTGTTTTAATCTCTTCTGAAACTGATTTGGTCAAAAATCATTAATATTTTTTCCAGGTAATTGCATCAAATGAGTCTTTTTTTCTTTTTTTTTTTTTACTTACCATAAGGAATGACTGCATATAAATCTTAAAGAATTTCTTTAACAGTGAGCTCACACATAATGAGAGATTATTTGAATTTCAGTCACCTTTTTTTGTTTACTCTGCACTGCAATGGCTTTTGATGGAATTATTTAAAAGTCATTTTCTTAAAAATAAAATAACCTTGATTTTTCACTTGCTCCTTTCTATGAGGGTAAGTAGCAATAATAAATCAAAAGAAAAATAGATCAGAGTAAACAGAACTCAGGAAAAGTTCTCCTTAGATACACTTAAGGATGAAATGTTAATTCTATGACAGTGACTTTGTTAAACGTAACCAGAGAGAAAATAGCTAACAATGACTATAGACTCACAGGTTTTAAACATTTTAAAACATAGAATGAGACTTTATATATTTATATACAAAATTCAATATATACAATTCAATATATAGTCTCTAAGGCATTTGACTGCTAACTAGAAATCTGGCAGTTCAAACCCACAAGCCACTCCTCAGAAGGAAGGTTGGGCAATCTACTTCCATTGTGATACCACCTCAGAAACCCAAGGAGGGGTCTCTATGAGTCACCAACTCGACGGCAATGAGTTTATCAATTCTAAGAAAACATTGACAAATGTTGAAAATTCCCAAAATTTTTATGATAGAAATGAAAAATTTTGCATTATCTAAATCTTGACTTTGATAAATTTCAGTCTAATGATATCAAAATTGAAATGGAATTCACTGAGGTCAAGATATTGAAATATTTCAAATATTTTCTTTTAAGAGATATAAAGAAGAAAATTTACCTATAGATTGAAACTTATAAAATATTATACTTACAGTCTACTTGTTTATAACGGTGAGATATCAAAGCACTTTTTGTTTTATCAATATCCAAAGCTAGGTACTCTACAGAACCATGGCCAAACTTCTGTACTCGAAATACACCATTTTTAGGTCCTGCTCCATATATATAATCTTCAAAGATATCAATCCTATGTGGATGTAACAAGCCTAGAATTTTAAAAAGGAAGGATTAGAAAAGTTGCAATGTATATATTTAGACTTAAGGAAATCATCTAAATTTATCCAAGATCATATAGAAATGTTTTTACTATTTAAAATTTAAGGATTGATTTTTTTTAGTTTGAGCTCTAAAGTCGTTCTAATTAATGTATTTGCAGTGGAAATATGAGACATTAAACATCTCTTTCAGAACATGAAAAAAAAATTCTATCATTACTTTAATCATATTAGCCACCACAAAGCATGTGCTGGGAGTTTATTACATGCAAAGCAATGTTCTCTGTTGTGAAGTCACAAACAAAAGCAAAATATGGGGGCCCGCCACATCCATAGTATAAAAGCAGATAGTTCACAAACTCTCAGTTTGTGCTCTGGATTGAATTAATGAACAAAATGGATTACTTACTCCACTAGTTTATCAAACAATCATGAGTTTGTTTTAAAAAATAAATCCTAGAAAATATTTGACATTACTATTGTCTGTTACTGAAATGCAATAAGGAGACCAAACTGGCAAGTGGCAATCATACATGTGACTAGTTTAACTAAAAATAATAGGAATGACAATTCCTTTGAAGGGGGATTGGGTAATCTACTTCTGTAGTGATACTGCCTTGGAAATCCAAGGATGGGTCGCTACAAATCAGATCCAACTTGTTGGCAGTGAGGTGTTTTTTTTTTTTTTTTTTTTAAATGACTATTATTGTAAGAGAAGCTCTGGTTGCATGGTGCCTAAGGCACTTGACTGCTAACCAGAAGGCTGGCAGTTCAAACAGACCGCTGGCAGTTCAAACCCAACAGCCCCTCTTTGGAAGGAAGGTTGGGCAATCTACTTCCATAGTGATGTTGCCTCGGAAACCCAAGGTGGTTGTTATGAGTCAGATCTGAGTCGTTGGCAGTAGGTCATTATGATAAGATATTTTTTTTTTTTTAAAGAAAGATGAATTAATCTAACTTTCAGTATTAAAATTTATAACAAAGTGAAATTATATTTTAATAAAACATAAAATTCCTTTTAAGTGTATGTATTTTTCATCATTATTTCTTCAAATAGTAAAATGTAAACTTAAACTGAAACAGGTCTACTTGATTGTAATCAATTACAGGAGTTTGGAAATACCATCATCCAGGGCTATTGATACAAAAAATACACTTTGGACAAAGGCACAATGAAAACACAATTTCATTATTTTGTCTCAACTTCTCTGCTTTCTTGAAAAATGAAGAAGCAATGTTACATTCAATAATTATAACAATATAAAGCTTCACATGTGTATTATGAACATTCGTAAATAAGGAAAGGGGAAAGATCATGAAGGAAAAGATATTAGATTCAATAAAAAGAAGTGAATCAGGCAAGCTATGCAAGTAGTGTGTGAAAGAGACAGAAAACAAGAAAGGAAAAAAAAATAGGAGACAAAGAGACAGCAATAAAAACAGTGTCAAAAAGAAGAGTACAAGCATATCCACAGGTTACTAGTGGTTTAGGCTCCCTGCCAATTTTGCATACTACTTTTCACATGGGTGAGTGTATACTTACAAATTACCTATAAAAATAATTGTTACTGTGATGTTTTACTATACACAACTAATTTCCTTCTTGCTATCACTGCAATTTGAAATGAAGATTAGTTTTCACAGGTATTAATTTTGACTACTTGAATTGGTCTGCTCAGAATGAAATAGCCACAGAAACAACAGAATAAAATTATTTTAAGAATCTGGGCAGCAGTGGGACATGTTTGTTATAGATGTAAGAAGTTCTTCTGTGCTGGCCTCTTTGTTTTTTTTCAAGTAAACCAGAAAACCAAATCTACTGCCGATTCCAATTCATAATGACCCTATAGGACACAGTGGAACTTCCCCATCTGTAAAGCAGATTGACACATCTTTCTCCTGCAGAATGATTGGTGGGTTGTAACCACCAACCTTTTGATTAGCAACCAAATGCCTTAATTACCGTGTCACCAGAGCTCTTTGTTTTTCAAGTGAGAATGAAAAATTTAATCCACAATAAAAGCAACAAGTTGAAAGGAGAATTTTGAGAAAATCCAAAAGCATCCATGCTTAGAAAGCTTCCATACTATATTTATTTAATATTCTAAATAATATTTGAAAACTAAAACATTTCACAAACCTTGTTTGCTGCTGACCAAGACTACTGTATCGGAGCCATCATACAGAACACTGCCAATAACAGAGAGCTCAAAATCAGCCCAGTAAATGCGTTCACTAAAATGATCCACAGCCAAACCTGCAAAATCAACACACATGGACAAATAACAAAAATCAAGTGGAGATTACTTTAAAATTATTTTTTTGCTTCTTAATGCGTATGTATGGATGATATATTATATTAGAAATGGCACCAGTCTACATCAAAGTACTGTAGAAATTAGAAAATTTAAATAAACCATTTATTAACTGGAACACATGTGTTTAGAATACATAGATTTTATTTAAAAAACTATAATAAAACTCTTATTTTGCATAGAAACAACCTTTATTAATTACTTTTCCTCTCCAGAATATTTTTCTTTTTATTACTATTTTTCTCTCAAGGCCCCTCGTGGTGTGGTGATTAAGCACTCAGCTGCTAACGAAAGAATGGAAGTTTGAATCTACCAGCCACTCTATGGGAGAAAGATGTAGTAGTCTGTTTCCATAAAGGTTACAGTTTTGGAAATCCTATAAGGCAGTTCTACTCTGTCCTATAGGTTTGCTATACAGTCACTATGAGTCAGAATCCACCTCACAGCTATTTTATTTTATTTTATTTTATTCCTATCAGACTTTACCCTAGGAGGGGTTGCTATGAGTCGGGTCTGACTCGATGTTACATAACAAGAACAACATCAGATTTTTGCACTATATTTCAATTTTTTATCTTCATAATCTAGTATATGCAGAATGAATTCATTATTAATATCACTATGTTACATTATTTTAAGTGATATAGTACAAATTAGGTATATTCTTAATTCCTCCATGAAAGTGCAGTTCTTCAAATGTAAAAAGTTCATGGGCTTAAATTAATCATAAGACATTTTCAACTACATGGGATTACATGGGATCTCCTACATGGGGCTCCTATTGTTATGTGTCACTGAGTTGACTCTAACTCACAGAGACTTTATAGGACAGGATAGAACTTGAAAACCATACGGTTTTCAAGGGTGTACTCTTCACAGAAAGAGACTGACACATCTTTCTCATGCAGAGCAGCTGGTGGATTCAAACTCTTAAATTCTCAGTGAGTAACCAAGTGCTTAACTACCAAGGCTCCTTAACCAACTCAACAATAACAGGTTTGTTTTCTTTTGTTGTTTTTGTTGGAGTTGTCCTACAGTGTCATAAGACACCCGCATGCATGCTGAACTTCAACTTACTAAAGATTAATGATTATAGTAGGGAAGATGAATAGAAAATTATTTAATTATGGTTCACCAACCAAAACCAAACTCACTGCCATCAAATCAATTCCAACTCACAGTGATCCACACTGGGTTTCCAAGGCTATAAATCTTTACAGAAGCAGACTGCCTCATGTTTTTTCCGTGGAGCAGCTGTTGGGATCAAACCACTGACCTTTGGTTTAGCAGCCAAATGTCTTAATCACTACATTGCGAGTTCCTTAATTAAGTGTCTAGTGGTGCTTAAATTTTTTACTTTAGTCATTAATTTACTCAGAGCTGCTTATCTTCATTGTCATCATTGGTATTTGTCAGTGACTAAAAGTAAAATACAATGTGCAATTATCTGTAGTCTACCATTTTACGTAGGAAAATGAATTTTAAAGGCTTTTCTATTTACTTTTTTAATATTTAATTTTGTGAATTCAGACACAGGGTATCTTAAAGTGTTTTCTACAATATAGAAGACTAAGCATATTCTATAATAAACATTTATTAAGTAGATACTAATTTTTATGATTTAGTTGGTCATAGTTGATAATAGGTGCCGTCCAGTTCAGTCTAGCTCATAATGATCTCATGTGACAGAGTGCAACTGCCCCACAGAGTCTTCTTGACTATAATCTTTAGAGAAGCAGATCAACAAGTCTGTCTCCCTCAAAGCCACTGGGCTGGTCTCAACCACCAACTTTTTGGTTCGCAGAAGCTGAAAATTTGAGCATTTGCACCACTGGAGCTCACATTACATACTTCTGACAGTACAATGCAATTAAAATTCTTTGACAGCTAAATATTGAAGACCTTTTCCACGTAGATCCTGCAGAAAATAACAGCTACAACCTAGTTTGCAAGGCAAGTGAATGAGTTATTTTTGAGTTTGTGCTAACTATATTTCTGTGTATATGATGCAAAGCTTAATAATTAGATTGAAATTCATGGCTTAAACCATAATAATTTTTCTCTTATGTACATAGATATGTTGTTGTTTGGTGCCATCAAGTATATTACCACTCATAGCAACTCTATGTACAACATAATGAAACACTGCCAGGTCTTGTTCCTCCTTACAATCACTGCATCATTTGTTGTGCTATAATGGCTTTGTGTCATTGTGACACTGGAAACTATGCTACTGTATTTTGAATATCAGCAGGATCATCAATGGTGGACAGGTTTAAGATAGACCAGGAAGAAGGACCTGGAGGTCTATCTCTGAAAATGTTGGCTAGTAAAAGCCTTATGAATCGCAGCAAAACATAGACAAGGTCTAAATATAATCAAATTAAATGTTAATATTGTTCTTCAAGTATAATATAAAGATGTAATGTGCCCAACCACTCTCTGAGCAATGAATTAATAATTTAAAGGACTGCCTCATGTTTTACTGGTTGATGCTCAATGATTAATATGCTACTTAGAGTCATATTAGGAGTTGTGTTTTTGCTTCTTCATGTATAATTATGGACAACATGAATCATAAAATAACCCAATTTCCTGCTGCTGCCATTATACTTCAAAACAATGTCTAAGAAGAATGGCAATACTTTTGTTTCACTTTTACCAAAATGATAGAATAAAGAGGTAGATACAACAAAAAGTTTTCCCAACAAAATTTATCCTTACATGAAAATATAATACATTTTCTAATCATAAAAAAGATGACAGTGGGTGTCAAAACCATGTTAATTGATAATATTATTTTTTCAAATTCAGTAGCAGTAATAATTCTCAAATTGTAATACATTGCATTATACCTGTCTTTATTAGTTCTGGTCACACACTGTACTATTGAATAGAATTGTATCTCGATAAAAATTATGTAACAAAGCTTTCAGATGAGTGGGATTTATATTCCAAAAGATGCAAAAAATCAATAACTTTGATTTTTCCTTAAGCCCTTTAATAAAAAAGAGAGTCCTTTAAATTAAAAAGTTAATAAAGGAATCTACTAACTTTCCTGTTGAGAAAGTTGAGAATCAAGTTTATATGAAATAAAAAGTTTGTTTCTACCTTTAAAATATCATGTCTTCTTTTTGTCTTTAATAAAGCAACAATAATAAAATCTAAAAAATAAAATAAAATAAAAGTCATATCTCAAGGCACTCATTCTTATCAGAACTGAAAATGATTAATATTTGGGACCAACATGGGGAAACTAGAGAAATTTTTAAAATAAAATATCATACTTCTTCTAACAAAGCATAATGGAAGACACATAAAGATAAAGACAGAGATTCACTAAGTTTTAGTGATGTATGATAATGGCACTAAGCATGTAGTCATTTTTTTAATATCTCCCATGATAACAAGACCATTATGGTATTTTGGGAATTTTTGTATTTCACTTTTGTTAGACTGAAATTTTCTAAGATCTTTCTTCTATTTCTCCTTTTTCCCACTAAAATCTCAAAAACTAAAAATAAAAATAAAACAGAAAATGATATTTTTTGAGAAATGGACATGTGGTTGTTAGGTGCCATTGAGGTTCTAACTCATAGCCACCCAATGGACAACAAAAGGGCAGAAAAACATGCTGCCCGGTCTGACACCATCCTCACAATTAATGCTATGCTTGAGCCCATTATTGTAGCCCTGTGTCAGTACATCTCACTGAGGGTGTTCCTCTTTTTTGCTGACCCTTTACTTTACCAAGCATGATATCCTTCTCCAGGGACTGGGATCTTATTCAAAGAACATGAGGTGAAGCCTTGCCATCATTGCTTACTTCTAAGGAAAATTCTGGCTGTACTTCTTACAAGAAAATTTGTTCTTCTGGCAGTTCATGGTATATTCAATATTCTTCACCAAGACATCAATTTAAAGACATCAATTCTTCTACAGTCTTTCTTATTCATTGTCCATGTTTTGCATGCATATGAGGCAACAAAAATACCATGGCTTGGGGCAGGACTATCTTCAGCCTCAAAGTGACATATTTGCTTTTTAAAACATTAATACAGTCTGTTGCTGCAGATGTGCCCAGTGCAACATATCATTTTTCTTGACTGTTGCTTCCATGAACGTTGATTGTGGATCTCAGTTAAATGCAATCTTTGACAACTTCAATCTTTTCTCCTTTTATCATGATGTTGCTTACTGGTCAGTTTGTGAGGATTTTTGTTTTCTTATGTTGAGGTGTATTCCAGACTGAAGACTATAGTCTTTGATCTTCACCAATAAGTGCTTCAAATCATCTTCATTTTTAGCAAGCAAGGTTGTGTCATTTGCATATTGCAGATTGTTGATGAGTCTTTCTCCAAACCTGATGCCACATTCTCCTTCATATACTTTAGCTTCTCAGATTATTTGCTCAGCAAATAGATTCAATAATTATGGTGAAAGGATACAACACTGATTGACAATTTTCTTGAATTTAAACTGTGAAGTGTCCCATTGTTCAGTTCCAATGACTGCCTCTTTGTCTGTGAATAGGTTCCATATGGGCAGAATTAAGTGTTTTAGAATTCCCAGTCCTTGCAATGTTATCCACAATTTGTTATGATCTACAGACTTGAATGTATAGTCAATGGAACACAGGTAAACATCTTTCTAGTATTCTCTGCATTTAGCTAAGATGTGTTTAGTATCAGCAGTAATATCTGTTGTTCCACATACTCTTCTGAGTCTGGCTTAAATTTCTAGAAGTCTCCTGTTGATTTACTGTTGCAACCATTTTTGAATTATCTTCAGTTAAATTTTACTTGTATGTGGTATCAATGATATTGTTCAATAATTTCTCCATTCTGTTGGACCACCTCTCTTTGGAATGGACACAAATATGGGCTTTTTCCAGTCAGTTGACCAGAAAACTGTCTGCCAAATTTATTAGCATAGACAATTGAGTGCTTTCAGTGTTGCGCCCATTTGTTGAAACATCTCAGTTTGTATTCCATCTTTCTGTAGGCTTGTTTCTCTAGTGCCTTCAATGCAGATTGGACTTCTTTCAATAGCATCAGTTCTTAATCATATGATACTTCCAGAAATGGCAGAATATGGACCAGTTCTATTTGGTCCAGTGAATTTGTTTATTACTTCTAGCTTTCCTTGATGCTTCCTGAGTTGTTCAGTTGTTTGTCACAGAATCCTTCAATATAGCAACTGGTGGTTTGAATTTTTTCTTCAGTTCTCTTAGCCATAGTTCCAATATAATATTTGATGGAGAAGTTTTCAACATAGTAACAAATTAAAATCTCTGTGCTTTCAGAAAAAGGACAAGAGTTGAGTTTCATGTTAAAAGAAATCTAAGATTTTAAAGTATTAAAAATCAGTAAATGTACACTACCATATTCTGGATTAAAGAGATGATAAGAGGGGTCCAAAATGATTAGCTTCTAACTGAAAAGTTGGTGTTTCAAATCTACCAGCTTCTCTGTGGGATATATATTTGGCAGGTTTGCTTTGCTTACATAAAGATTTACAGCCTTAGAAACCCTATGAGACAGTTATACTCTACCTATAGGGTTATAATTTATTTCTAACCATAATTTGAAGATATTATGACTTTTTTTTTTTTTTTTGTATTCAGGTATTTTTGTATTCAAGTACCTATGAGATATCTGTACTTAATTGGCTTATGTTGGGTCCAGGTTCTACAATGAAATATTAATTAACCTATTGACTGCTAACCAGAAGGCTGGCAGTTCAAACCCACCAGCCACTCCTCGGAAGGAAAATGGGGCAATCTACTTCTGCAGTGATACTGCCTCGGAAACCCAAGGAGGGGTCGCTATGAGTCAGGTCTGACTTGACGGCACATAACAACAACAACAACAACATGGTTGAGCAACAGGACCACAAAAAGTGCACTCAGGTGTCACCTTCTCAAAAGGCCTACTCTAATCACATAATAATCTTATATTGCAATCTGTCCCTTCTCCATTCCTGACCCTTTCTTCTCCTCTACTTTTGGTGTTCTCTCCAAAGCATATAGAATGATAACTTACTTCATGATTTACTTATTAAATATTATTTTTATCTATCTCCATCCAAATTCTTTGCCCCTTACCAGGAGGAATGCAAGTACCAGGAAGACAGGGATTTATGACTATGTATTGAGTTGTATATTACAAACACCTGAAATCATGCCTGCTACATACTAGGCACACAATAAATATGTGTTTAATGAGTGAATAAATGGCTTCTGAGAGTCTATTCCTATAAATGTGTCAGAAGTTCTCAGAAAGGCTGAGCAGAAAATTCAGTATATCTGCACTACACTTAGTATTGACATGCCCATCCTTTATTATTATTTTTCCTTTATAGTACTTATCTGATGTTATATACAAATATATATTCTATTCTCTAAAAAAGGAAAATTTTATGAGTGTTGGAACCTGCCTCACAAGGGTAAGAACTTAGTTGTTCAACATCTGGGAGAGTTTCTAGCACATGATAGGGGTTCAGTTAGTATTTTTTAAATAAACGATTGAAGGAAGACATTTTTGTGTGAATGAACTAAACTCCAAGGCTTTTTACTTTTTCCATGAAGAATAAAAACAATCTAGTGGGAGAAGAAGGCATAAGCATATTGAAAGTTAATAACAATATAAGTGAAAAATATGAAAAATATGAATAAATTAAAAACTATGAAAGATACTACAAAGAATGTTGTTAAAAAAAAAAAAAATGCCATAAAGATTGGAAAGGAGTGAAGGTGGCACAGAATCTCCAGGACTGCTGCAGACTGAAAATGCTTTGCTTAGGAAGAATTGCTAATGTTAGATCTTAAAAAGTAGACCAAAAAAAAAAAAAGTTGGAAAAGTATTCTATATGGAAGAACTGGGAGGATGATGGTAGGTGAGAAAGAATATGGTAGCAGGAAAAAAAAAGACATGAGTTCCTGAACATTTCAGAGAGTAAAGAGTAGTAGCTTAAGTGACTAGACTGGGAGGGAGATTGAAGCCAAATAGAAAAGAGTTGTAGATGACAAGGTAAGAAATCACCAAACTTGTTTTTCACAAAAATTATTTATATTTTTGCATTTCTTTGACTCTCATCTTTCAGAAATAATGCCATCTATTTCATCATAAACATATATTTGCAAAAAATAATCTTTTGCATTGCTATAAATTGTCAAAATTTCAAGCATGTGAAATTCTGCTAAGCCTTACATCCTAAGCAATTTTCAAATAACATACCTACAATAAAATTGGCAGCATGGTAAAGATCTGACTTGTATGTTTAGAAAATAGAACATGTGATATTAATGACTTATGAAAACATACTATAAATTATTTTATTGCTTGTAAAAATTATATTGCCAAAAAAAGAAAAAATATGATAATACTAATACTCTTATTGTTGTTGTTGTTATGTGCTGTCGAGTTGGACCCAACTCATAGTGACCCCTCCTTGGGTTTCTGAGGCAGTTATCACTATGGAAGTAGATTGCCCCATCTTCCTTCTGAGGAGTGGCTGGTTTAGCAGTCAAGTGCCTTAGGCACTGTACTGCTTTTCATTTTAGAGTGTGTCAGAAACATGTCATACCTGTGGGCCTCTGTAAATTCTTTTGCACTAAAATTCTTCTCAGAGTACCATCCATGGCTGCTTCTTCTATGTGGGAGTGGTCACCAACAACAGTCCAGTACATCATCCTGAAGACAATAGGTTAAATATGTTAGACTGTTGATGGTACTGCACAACCTGCCTCAGTTCTGAAAAGGCAGTATCCCTCCACACTATATGCATCAGAACCATTCCAGAGTGTGTTAAAATGTAGATTTCTGGATTCAGCTCTAAATGCAAAGAATAGGAACCTTCAACAGAGGGTCCCAGGAATTGACATTGAAACAAATTCTATAATGTGTACTTCAATTTTGACAACTATTCTTAAAGATAAATGATAATTTATTATTTGATACCCAAAGTTCAGTTTTTGAAATTCCATTAAAATTTCTGAAGCAAAATTTTTCTACCATGTGAAACTATCTTCTTGTTGTGACAGAACGTTTATTCTATTTTGGATGTTACATCAAAATGTTGTATTTTTTTGATAAGGAAATAACTATTTTTTTCAATTGAAACAATTCTCTCATTTAGAAGACAAAATCCTGCATAAGTGTAATAAATAAATAATAGTTCATTAATAGTTTATTTCTTTTTCTTTTTACAGAGGATCTTATGATCCACTATATGGATGATTAAGAGGTTTTTCTTTTCTTTTCTTTTTTTTTTTTTAACATTTCCCTATTCTCTTTTTGATTATTGCTTATAATGTATGTATAAAAAATTTAAAAAATTTAATACAAAGCCTTTCTTTTTCTTAACCTTCAGGAAGAAAAAGAAAGGCTTTGTATTAAATTTTTTTATACATATGCTTTCAATGTTTATTATTACAAATACCTCAAAACATCAATACTGTATATTTGATATATTTAAATGATGAAAATTCAATTTTAGATTAAAAATGTGTATATCACATCAGTTTCATTATTCTGCAACATGCACGTATTCACAACATGCAAACACAGATTTTATATTGTAGGAATCTTTCTGGAAAAAATAAAATTCCACACACTATTTCAAGTGAAAAGGGCATGATTTTATACAGAAGGAAGTACACAGTGATTTTCAGAAATGTGAATTTATTATATATTGAATACTCATTAAATAAATAAAACCACAGTCCATAGGTAGATAGCTATATTAAGAAAAAAAATATATATATATGTATATATATATATATGAGGCCATTAACCTACCCTCTTTTTGGATTTACAGCAATAGCATAGGGTTCTCCAGCCATGTTTGTTAAAAGTCTTGTACAGTTGGGGCCATTCAGTTGTCCTACATTGACAGAGTACCTCAGACTGGTCCAGTGAGTTGTGTAGTAACTAAACCAGTGCATTCTAGAATGATCGGTCCAATAAATATTTCCAGCAACCCAGTCAACTGCAATGTCCCGGGGTCTTTTAAATTCAGGACACTAAAAGAAAATGAAACAAAACCACAGTATTTTTAAAAGCAAATTAATAGAACTTTCTGTATGCATACATTGATTTTTACCTACATTGATATTTGAAAAACAGAATGTGACCATGCTCAGATGTTACTTGCTACATAGACTTCCTAAGAACACATACCTTTTATTTTATTATTATTCCTTATAGATTTATAACTGCACAAATCTTACCTGTACAGTTCAATGGAGTTTATTTATGAATTTCTCTGTTTTACCACTACTGAACTAGATATTTCTAGCACTCCAGAACTATCTTTTGTGACCTCTTCCAATCAATATTCCTCTGAGAGTAACCATAATTACAACATCCTGGATTAGTTTAAACAAACCCAGATAAATGAAATCATAACCTGTTATGCCTGACTTTTTTCACTTAAGATAATGTCTGATTATTCTATGCTATTGTATTTGTCCATTATTAATACTTTTTATATGTGTTCATTGTATGAATGTCCCACATCTGTTTACCACTCTATATGTCCACTTGGTTTGTTTATAGTCTTTGTCCATTACACCTAAAGCCATCAATATTCTTGTACATATATATTTTTATAGTCACAAGCACTCATTTCTGTTGGGTCTTTACTCAGGAAAAAGAGTGCCTTAATGCTGTAAATTGTTAATATGTTCAGCTGTTAACTGAAAAGTTTGTAGAGAATTGTATTAGAAGAAAGTCCTGGTGATCAACTTCTGAAAAATTAACTATTGACAACCCATACCAAACATACTTCTACTATGACAAACCTGGGGTCATCATGGATTGGACTTGACTCAATGAGAACTGTTAAAGTTGATTGAATTTAGAGTATACATGTGTTTAGCTAGACACAATTAGAAATTTATTTTTTCAGTTTGTACCCATATATAATCTAGTCAGCAATATAACAAAGTCTCACTTGTTTTCCATTCTCACCATACATAGTTTGATTCAAAAATTTAAAAAAAAAGAAACTTCAGCACAGATAGAGATATTTAGAAAGATATTGTATGTAAACATCTTTTGAAAAAAGTTGCAATATTACATCAGAGAAGTTGGATTTTCTGCTTAATATAGAATTTCACTGAGTTATTGTGAAAGTTAAGAGTGTTCATGAGGAATAGGCAGCAAGGCATTTAATGGAAGCTCAGAGACTTTCAATTACCTTGATTATTTTGAGCAGAAATTAGTTTATTAATTGTTTTAACACTGTCAGGTTTACTATGCATAGCCAAAAGTGGAAAAAGATTCCAAGAGGTATTATATCTAGACTAGAAACAATTATTTGACAATGATTATATTATCTAGACATGTAATCAACATGTAAGAATATCATTATGACCAAATAGCCAGTAGAAACATGGATTTTTTTAAAATAAGATTTTTATTATACACATTTTTATTTATTTATTTTAATTTTTTATTGTGATTTGGTTTGAAGTTTACAGAGTAATTTTGTTGTCCATTCAACAATTAACACACATTTTGTTTGGAGACATTGATTGAAATCCCTGCAAAAAACAGCACTCTTCCCACTTCCGCCCTGTGCTCACCATTTCTCTTTGACCTTCTTTCATATCCATTCCTACATTCTGAGCTTTATCTCTGGGCAAATATTGCCCTTTCAATGTTTTATGGCTGATTGTTCTAAGGAGCTGTACCCCCCATACACTGTTCATCTCATAGGTCTATTTGTCCGAAAGGTGAATCAGGAAAGTAACTGGGAAGGCCTAAAGAGTGAACCAAAAGAGTGAGTCGGGAGGCATGAAGGGTGACTAAGGGTTGTAGCCTTGGGAAAACATGGATTTTAAACACATGATAATTTCTTGCGTGGTTTAATGGTCAGCAGATTTTCTTAAGCAGATGCCTTGGATTCAAAGAGAAGAATGATCATTTCAAAAAGAATATAGGATGCCAAGTAACAGGAATTGCAAGTCATTCTCTATTATGTGATTACTAGGATCTCAAAGAAGGGAAATATGGCTTGAACTAAAAACAGAACCTAAAGACAATTTCTAATGACATTTATTATCAGTATTTTCACCTACTGGCTTCAAAATTGAAATCAAGAAATTGGATAGTAGCCTCTTTCCACAGATTGTACTCGTCTGTCAGTTTATTGTACTGTGGTGACTTGCATGTCACTAGGATATTGGAAGCTATGCCACTGGTATTTCAAACACCAGCAAGGTCACCCATGGTGGATAGGTTTAGCAAAACTTCCAGACTAAGACAGAAGTAGAACATGGCAGTTTACTTCAAATAACTGGTCACTGAAAACCTTATGAATATCATGGAAATATTATCTGATATAGTGCCAGAAGATGAGACCCTCAGGGTGGAAGGCATTCAGTATATGAGCTGCCTCCTCAAATAGAGTTAACCTTAATGACATGGATGGAGTAATGCTTTTGAGATCTTCATTCTCTGATGCAGCACAATTCAAAATGAGAAGAAACAGCTGCAAACATTCATTAATGATTAGAATGTTTAATGTACGAAGTATGAATCTAGGCATTTGGAAAATTTGAAAAAGACAATAGAACATATAAAGATCAATATCCTAAGCATGAATGAACTGAAATAGACTGGGATTGGTCATTTTGAGTCACACAATCAGATGGTCTACTATGCCAAGAATGACACATCGTGGAGAAATGGTGTCACACTCATAGACAAAAAGAATATTTCAACTTCTATCCTGAAGTACAATATTGCCAATGATAGGATAATATCCATATTCATACAAGGAAAACAGGTAATATGACTATTATTCAAATTTATTTACAAACCACTCAAGCCAAAGATGAAGAAATTGAAGAGTTTTACCAACTTCTTCAGTCTGATTGCAATTAAACATTTAATCGGGATGCATCAATAATTACTGGTGATTTGGAATACAAAAGTTGGAATCAAAGAAGGACTGGTAGTTGGAAAATATGGCACTGGTGATAAAAATGACACCCGAGATAATATGATAGAATTTTGCAAGACTAGTGACTTATTCTTTGCAAATAGTTTCTCTAAACAACATTAATGGTGAATATATATGTGACTCTGACCGGATGGACTAAGCAGGAATCAAATCCGAATATGTCTGGGGAAAGACACAATGGAGAAGCCCAATATCATCATTGTCCTTTCAATGTTTATGGTTGACTGTTCTATGGAGCTGTGCCTCCCAGACACTGAACGTCATGGTCCACAAGAATCATAATATGACCTTAATTATATCTCACCTGATCTTAGGGATAATCTCAAGAATAGATTTGATGCATTGAACACTAATGATTGAAGACCATATAAGTTGTACGATGACATGAAGGACATCATACATGAAGAAAAATAAGGTAAATAGAAAGATAAGGAAGAAAGACAATACCAAAATGGATGTCAGAAGAAACTCTGAAACTTGCCCTTGAATGTAGAGAGCCTAATGCAAATGGAAAAAAATGATGAAGCAAAAAAGCTAAACAAAATATTTCAAAAGGTGGCTCGAGAAGACAAGGCAAAGTATTATAATGGAATGGGCAAAGAACTGGCATTAGAAAAACAGAAAGGAAGAAGATGATCAGCATTTCTCAAGCTGAAAGAACTGAAGAAAAAATTCATGCACTGAGTTACAATATTAATGGATTCTGTGGGCAAAGTATTGAAAAATGCAGGAACATCAAAAGAAGGTAGAAAGAATACACAGAGTCTCTGTACCAAAAAGAATTGGTCAGTGTTCTACCATTCAGGAGGTAACACATGATCAAGAACTGATGGTACTGAAGGGAGAAGTCCAAGCCACACTGAAGGAATTGGCAAAGAAAAACAAGCCTCCAGGAATTGACAGAGCACCAGTTGAGATGTTTCAAGAAACAGATGCAACATCTATTTAATTTGAAAAACATCTATCTGGCCAACCAACTGGAAGAGATCCATAGTTGTGCCCATTCCAAAGAAAGGTGATAAATCAGAATGCGGGAATTATTGAGCAATATCATCAATATCAGGAACTCTGGTGGTATAATGCCTAAGGCATTTGACTGCTAACCAGAAGGTTGGTGATTCAAACCCACCAGCCACTCCTCAGAAGGAAGATTGGGCAATCTGCTTCTGTAAAGATACTGCCTTGGCAACCCAAGGAGCGATCACTACGAGTTAAAATGACTTGAGGGCAATGAGTTTTTCTTTTATCTATCTATCTATCTATCTATCTATCTATCTATCTATCTGTTTATTTTTATCAAAGATATCACACACAAGTAAATTTTTGCAGAAAATATTTCAAAACAGTTGTGGCAATACATTGAGGGGGACTTCTAGAAACGCAAACTGGATTTAGAAGAAGACATGGATTGAAGGACATCATTGCAGATGTCAGATTGACATTAGGTGAAAGCAAAGAATGCCAGAAACATGCTTACCTATGTATTATTGGCTATGGAAAGGTATTCAACTGTGTGGATCACAACAAATTATGGATAACATTTTGAAATGGGAATGTCAGAGCACTTAATTATGATCATGAGGCACCTGTACATGGACCAAAAGGCAGACAGTTATCCAAACAGGCAAGGGATATTGCATGGTATAAAATCAGGAAATGTGTGCATCAGGATTGTATCCTCCCACCAGATTTATTCAATCTGTATACCAAGCAAGTAATCTGAGAAGCTGGAATATATGGAGAAGACCAAAACAGCATCAGGATTGGGAGATTTATCAACAACCTGCTATATGCAAATGACACAACCTTGCTTGCTGAAAGTGAAGATGACTTGAAGCACTTACTGATGGAAATCAAAGGCTACAGCCTTCAGTATAGATTCCACCTCAACATAAAAAAAAAAAAAAAGAAAGAAAGAAAGAAATCCTCATAACTGGACCAATAAGCAGCATAATGAAAAATGGAGAAAAGACTGAAGTTGTCAAGGATTTCATTTTTCTTGGATCCACAATCAACACCCTTGGAAGTAGCAGTCAATAAATCAAAGGACAT